ATTTTAATGCATCCGTTTAAATCTGCTGCGACTTTTTTTGCTGATATTAACTGCAGACCCAAACATTTTCTTTCTCTTATATTTTCATCTTCGAGTATATCGCATGCAGCTAAACCCTCAGGAAGAGATAGACGTCCTTTTATTATCACCTGCATTCAATAAATATATTAATTTGTCAAATATTTATATTTGTTTGTTTATTTATTTATTATCGTATTGCTTATGTATGTATGGATGTATGTATCTATATATATATATATATATATTCTTGTCTATTTAATTAAGGTTTTAAACAGCTTGTATATATATATATATATATATGTATATTCATATAGAGGTATAAGCTAACATGTATGCATATGTATATACAAGTATATGTACATATATGTACTTACAAATATATATATATATATATACATATATATATATATATATATGTATATGTTGACCAAGATTTAAATATATAAATATATATTCATACAATTAAAAACATTTAACATGTTTCTAAGGGTTTTAACTCTGTTCTCGCTTCACTTAAATAATATACATACAATATATATATATATATATATATATATATGCACATCTCTTGATCTAGATTTAAATACACATATGCATAAAGAACAACAAACTAAATATCTAATTAAATAGACGAACAAAACAAAAAATAAAGCTAGAATGTACCTGTATATCAAAGGGTTTTAACTCTGTTCTCGCTTCGCTTAGATTCCCATTTTTACCCCCGCATTTTTTTGCTGCTAATTTTACTTCGAGTTCAGTGCAGTGACAGTCTTCGCAAACAAACGAAAATATACGCAATAAAGCTGAACGAACCCTGCAGCAGCAGCAGCAGCAGCAGCAACAGCAGCAGCAGCAACAGCAGCAAGAGAAGCAGAAGCTGAAAGTGAAGGAGGAGCAGAAACAGAAGATACAGCACAGATGCAACAGAAACAGCAGCAGAAACAGCTTAAACAATAACAGCAACAGCAACAACAACAACAACAACAGCAGCAACAACAACAACAACAGCAGCAGCAGCAGCAGCAGCAGCGAAAGCATCAGCAGCAGCAGCAGCAGCAGGAGTTGGAGTGTATAGAGACCTGATTTTATCTACGAGTACAGCAGTGGGGCAGCTGGTGGCATAAAACGAAGTCGGAATAACACCTGAGGATACACCCGAAAGAGAAGAAAGAAAGAAAAAAATAAAACTAAAGAAAATCAAATTAAATATCAAAACAAAATAAAATAAAACAATAAACAAATTAAAACAAAAACAAACAACAAATAACAAATTAATAAAATAAAATATCAACAAAAACATCCAATACAAATAAAATAAAAATAAAAATAATCAAAGACGAAGCAGTAACAAAAAAACAACAAAAAAAAAGACAAAAGCTATCCTCAGCAGCAGCAGCAGCAGCAACAGCAGCAGCAGCAGCAGCAGCAACAGCAGCAGCAGCAGCATCAGGAGACGCAGCAGCACCAGGTGCAGCATCAACAGCATCAACAGCAGCAGAAACAACATCAGGAGACGCAGCAGCAGCAGCATCATCAGCAGCAGCATCATCAGCAGCAACACCATCAGCAGCAACGCCATCAGCAGCAATACCAGCAGCAGCAGCATCAGCACCAGCAGCAGCAGCATCAGCAACATCAGCAGCAGCATCAGCATCAGCAGCAGCATCAGCATCAGCAGCAGCATCAGCAGCAGCAGCATCAGCATCAGCAGCAGCATCAGCTGCAGCAGCAGCAGGAGGAGGATAAGGAGGTTATCGCTGACCTCTTGCTCTAAGCTCTTGTTTAAATACTTCGAGACAACCGTCTATCATTTGCCTCAGCCCTACTAATTCTTTTGCTTCTGCTGCTGATTGAAGCTCTAGCCGCACATGAAGTGCAGCAGTATTTGTTTGCTGCAGCGTGCGGTGTATCAGCAGCTCCATCATACGCAGCATTTGCATTAATGCGGGCTGAAGGAATAACACAAACATCACAAATAACAAGCGCTTCTTCTTCTTCCTGCTGCTGCTGCTGCTGCTGCTGATGCTGATGCTGCTGCTGTTGCTGCTGATGCTGCTGATGCCGCTGATGCTGCTGATTCTGCTGATGATATTATTTCTAAGGCGGTTCTGCTGCTGCTCCTGCTGCTACTGCTGCTAATGCTGCTGCTAATGCTGCTGCTAATGCTGCTGCTAATGCTGCTGCTAATGCTGCTGCTACTACTACTGCTGCGACTGCTACGGCTGCTGCTACTGGAGCAGCAGCAGAAGCATTAGCAGCAGCAGTAGCAGCAGCATTATCAGCAGCATTAGCAGCAGCATTAGAATGAAAAGAAGCAGCTTACTGGAGCTTCTGAAGCAACTAACACTGACTGTACACCGCAAATTAATTTGAGTCTTCCTAACAGTCGCTGCTCAGTGATGCACTGCAGCACCATGACCAAATTCTCTAACTTCCGCTGCAGCACCTGTAGCAGCAGCAGCAGCAGCAGCAGCAGCAA